GACTGCCCACTGACTAAGCTCTTTGTCAGGCCAGCGGTTACTGTTCAAATGCAGCGCTTGTCTGCCGTTAATCCATACGAGCACTGTTCTGCGCAGCATCTCAGATACCTCTCTGTCCTTCTTACGGATCAACACTGGCTTAGCATTAATCACAGCACAGACCCAGCTTAGCTGGGTGGAAGATCTCCATGCTTCCCAGGCCTGCCACGCTGCCTCGTGGTGCTCGTATGTGAACCCCAGAGACCGACAGGGAAGTACTGTTTGGAACCACATGGGTGGTGACTAACCTGGCTCTTGTGCAGCTCAAGGCAGTACTTCCCCGGCCAGCAGCAGAAGTCTTGTCCTGAAAAGCAGCTAAAGAGAGCTTTTCGGGGAGGGCCTGAAGGGAGTCGACTCACTCGGTGACTCTACAGGATGCTGCATTTAGGTGTGGCCCGGTGCGCCTCGGTGGCACCGAACCAGGACATGCGGTCAAGAGGCCCTATTTATCTTCTTTATCATCCCTATAGCTGCTCCTACTCTAGGATCACCGTGTCCCCTCACATCTGCCTCCAGCTACTCTTCAAGCTGTTCAACACATTGGCCTTGGCTCCCCAGTGGTTTTTCTTTTTAAATGTCTTTTATTTTTTGATTGACTTCCTTTGTGCTCAGATTCCTTCTTTTCCTTGCCCCTATCCCATGCATGCTGGCTGGTTGGACTCTATAATGTCATTACAGCTGGATAATCCACGCTTAGCTTATCTGTGCAGCTCTGAAGATTAGTGGGAACTAATGTTGTTGGGCTAGATAAGCAGCAGTTTTACCTTCAGAAAGTGTTTTACCTTTATCAGCCTGAAGACATGTAGGAGCACAACAGCCGGTTTTCATTAAACCCCTCTGATTGCAGGGGCTCCTTTACCTTCCTGGTCCTGCCGGGGCGGGACATGGTTAGCAGCCCTACAAAATGAGCCCACTGTAGTGCAAGGGTGTTTATGCTATTTCCTTCACAGTGCTGAGTTCAGTGAGTGTGCGGTAAGAACATCGCCCCTAAGCATTTCTGGGCTAGTTTAGGCAGGTGTAAGTGCAAGGCTGGAATAGTTGAGGCAGGTGTGATGCAGTACTGGGAAGGGGTTTACACTAGATGACCTTCTGAGGGCCCTTCCCGCCCTACTTTCTATGATGCCATCAATTCCTGTAAATGCAACAGCAGGTCCAATCAGCCAAGTCTTCCTCTGCAGTTTGGCTTTCTAGTGTCCTCTGGTGCAACCCAGGCCCTGGCAGCATGTAGATCCATTGGCAAAACACAGCCAGGGCCAGGGGATGTGTAAATGATGACTGGAGGGAGCTCCGTAAGCTAGAAGACAGACCTGTGGTGGCTGGGAGGGCAGTGTTTCATAGATTTCATAGACATCAGGGCTGGAAGGGACCTCGGAAGATCATCGAGTCCAGCCCCCCGCCCAAAGGGCAGGAAGTCAGCTGGGGTCATAGGATCCCAGCAAGATGAGCATCCAGTTTCCTCTTGAAGGTGTTCAATGAAGGCACTTGAACCACCTCCGGTGGCAGGCTGTTCCAGACCTTGGGGGCTCGGACAGTAAAGTTCTTCCTTATGTCCAGCCTGAAACGATCTTGAAGTAGTTTGTGACCATTCGACCTTGTCATCCCTTGGGGCGCTCTGGTGAACAAACGTTCCCCCAGATGCTGGTGGTCACCCCTGATAGACTTGTAGGTGGCCATCAGATCACCCCTGAGCCTGCGCTTTTCCAGGCTAAAGAGCCCCAGGGCTCTCAGCCTGTCATCGTAGGGTCTGCTTCCCTGACCTCTGATCATGCGCGTGGCTCTTCTCTGGACTCTCTCAAGCTTCTCCACATCCTTTTTGAATTGTGGAGCCCAAAACTGGAAGCAGTACTCCAGCTGTGGCCTCACTAAGGCCGAGTACAGGGGGAGAATGACGTCCCGGGATTTGCTTGAGAAGCATCTATGGATACAAGCCAGCGTTTTGGTCGCTTTACTAGCCACCGCATCGCATTGCAGGCTCATGTTCATCTCGTGGTCAATGATGACCCCCAAGTCTCTTTCTTCCATAGTGCTAGCCAACATAGCACTGCTG